AATGTTTCATGAAGGGACATAGACCTTCAGGTCATCCAAAATGCAGTTTGAGCACCCACTGCAGGAATACCGCTGTGCACGGGGTTGCAGCTTGAGCGACAGTGTTATATGGGCAAAATTCGATTTTTATCTTCTATCTTTAAACAATAATTTCTCGTTCATCCGAAATTAGTTATATGATTTCGAACACACTTCGATTATCTACTAGACAAATAGAATAAGATAGTTTATTCTTTTTTATGATTTGACTATCGGAACCTATTTGAATATTTGGTCGAAATTGATACAAAATCAACCTTTTATTGATTTTTACTTAACCAATTCCAACAGTATTTCACTTTCGCCCCAATCAATTTATGTAAACTGATAACTAAAACCATAAACAACCATCTCAAACTTATTTTTTTTATCATTTACTCTGAGAATCAAAGTGGACGTCTTTCGGTCTGGCTTATAACTGACAATGTTATTGTAGCGTTCGAGTGCCTTCATTCTGAGTAAAAACTACAATGATCGATATGGTTTCTTGACAATCAAATTAGATATGAGCAAAGGATATGATTTGTGGAATGAGATTTCATTATCAATGTTACGGCAAGAACAAAAATTACATAGTCTTGGGTTCCACTGTATGTCCACGTCTCAGTTTTGTTACTATATTAAAATTATCATTTATGTGCTCTCTACTCGACGTCTTAGACAAGGTTGTCCCTTCTTTGTCTCTCATTATCCTTTCATATTACATACTAAGAGGAATGGAAACTTTTTCAAGTTCGATTCGATTGACGAAAGAGATTGGGCAACTTATAGGCTGGGCACGAAGCGCTCATAGGATAGACCTATAGTCAATCATTTATTCTTAGTCGACGATTACATTTTATTTCTACAAGCACGAGATTTTGACCGTCCAATTCTATCGAATATGTTAGCTACATATGAACAAGCGTCCAGTCAAGAACTAGATTTTAAAAAAATCAGCATCGACTTTTAGCCCCGGACCAAATTGCAGGATTGTGTCCGAATTGGCTTTGGAATTTCAGCTAGTGGGTCTCACGACACCTATTTGGGTTTACCTTGGTTCGAAATCAAAAACACCTAAACAGGAATTAGTTGAAAAACATGTGATTTTAATTTATTTTGGTATTAATTTATTGGTTGTTGTGTTGGTCTAATTATTATTCTCACCATGTGCTTAGACTTGACGACCAAACTTTTAGAATTATTGAGAATGTTCGATGCATGTATTATTGTTCAATTTACTATACTACACGCGAAATGAACGAGGACAAATTTGGAGCTGCCTATGTTCAATGAACACCTACATCTGGTCTTGGTCCATAGTAAAGCCTTTACTTTGATGTATTAAGAGAATTTTCATTAGTAAAGGAGTTGAAATATCAATTAATTTGCTCCTTTTTGGTGTACGGACGTCTAGTGCACGTTTGGAAATTGTAACATTTTTCTTCCTCGAAACTTATTTTATTACCCGTAGCATAACCCTTTTTACAATACTTTCTACTATCAAAACTTACAAGATATTGTTAAAGAATAAATTAATTAAAAGATTAACATTTCGTTTAATTTACTTGCAGAAAAGCTGGGTTTTAGTTGCCAAAAATCAGTTATACGACATATAGTAGATTATCCATCAATCATTATACGAAGTATCCACTATACTTTATTCGTCTACCCCAAATTAAAAGTTAATAAAATGTAAAACCTCTCCGTCGACTGGATGTTTGGGACCCCTAGCCCCGCGACCGAAGACTTGCATGTAGAGCAAGATTTTTCAAAAAAAAAAAAAAAAAAGAGAATATAAAAACGACATGCACTAGAGGCAGGGGACCATCCATTCGACAGCTTTAACGAGTAGATCTCAGACTAATTCAAGGCTTTTATAGTAAGGAAGATTGCATATTTGTATTCATAGAAAGCCCTTTTGAGTCTTTTTAGTGAACGTATAGATTAGACCCTAGAGAGTCCGTAAGCTCCCGATTTCAATCATAACACCTAGTTTTTTTTTGCCACAAAAGCAAAATAGAGATAATTGTTTGTCCGGTCTACTTTACGTGAACAATTTCGTACAATTTGGAGCCACCAATGTTCAATCAACACCAACATTTGGTCTTGGTCCATAATAAAGTGTTTAGGTACTAATTAAATCAAATTTTATGGTCTTTACTTCGATGTATCAAGAGAGTTTTCAATAGGCGAGAAGTTGAAATATCAACTAATTTGTTCTTCTTTGGACATATGTTCACCTAAGCTTAAAAAAATTACTTATAAGTAAATTTCAAAATAACTGATTTTAAGTTCAAAGTTCAAAATAAGTAATTTCTTATTTTGAAAGTAGACCTAATCTAATTTATTAACCAATTATGCTAGTACATTTCTTGAAGAAACAATTTGATTAGGGATAGATAGACTCGTATAAAAGAAATGAGATATGAGTATGTACAAGTATACGAAATAGCGTGTGATTTAGATTTAAAGTAGGAAAGTTTAAGTTAACAAATTTATTCAATGTCAACTAGCTCTTATAAATATAAATCATCCTTATCGAGAAAAAGATTTGCCTCGTTCACCCTCATGCTCCTCAACCATCTACATTACAGAAAGAATTTCCCTATAGTTCTATATATAGATTTTCATTTTTATTCGTCAGTTGAGGTCAAGCTGTGACACAAAAACTCTCTTCAAGTGAGCAACTATGACCTATTTGATCGAGGGGTTTCCCCACCCTTCTCACGTGCGTCTTACTGTCATGATGTTTTGGCACCTTGATCGATCACACTGCACTACTAACTTACCATCATTAACATATGATTCATTTATTCTTTGGTTTGATCTCCATTTTTTTCAAAATACATTTTCTTCTTTCTTCTTTTCAACCACATTCTTCAATAAAATAACATTATACACAAATCCAAAACTTTTCCTTATTTTTTAACCACATTCTCTATCAATCTGCTATTTTGAAATACATTCTACACCAAAAATGGAGATCAAACAAACCCAAGTACCAAATTTGACACGTTTTTGTAGTTCATTGCATTCCATTCGATTCCATTTTAATATAATACTCCTTTCTTGATTTGTTTGAGCGGATCTGGAATTTAAAATTTACTACCCAGAAACCATTGAACCTGGACAGGTACATAAATACACGTGCAACTTCTCTTGTGGGGTATAACACATTATTTTGAGGACATGTTTGACGTGAACTAATTTAAATAATATTATAGCTAAATATTTTTTCTTCTTTTTTTATTTTTATTTATCAAAGTATAAATATAAACTTACTACAATTATAGATTTTTGATAATTTTTTTCTTTTTATTATAATTATAAGTAAATGATGATGAGTGTGTTGAAAAGATATCAGACCTAATTGAATGGTTACATGCACCTATTAATTCTTATATCCATCAAGCTCAGATAAGAAAAAAGTACACAAAATTTGACAAATTCATCAATTCTTTATTTTAAAAAAATAAATAAAAATTATGTTATCTACTCTCCTCTCCTCCACATAACTGTGTAACGTGGAAAATAAGTGTGAACGTGACAGAAAAAGAAGCCCACAAACAGCGAAAATGGGAAGAAGTTTACTGAGAGTGATAGAGACGTAAAAGAGTTGGTCAATAAGGAGTTCAACTCTTAAATGATTTATAAATAAAAATAGTACCTTCATTCTCTTCTTTTTCTTTTCAAAGGTGGGCTTGACTTCTTTTTTTATGTACATTTCAATGTCCATGTTTTCAAAATCATCACTTATCTAAGTTATATTCTATGAATTAAATGAATAATACTAATGCACAAAAAAAAAAAAGACAGTAATTTTGAGTTTTCAAAGTTCTCTTATTAAACGATACAAAATCTTTTTAAGGTTAAGATCTTCGACTCTGTATATGAAAAACTTGTTCTTGTTATATTGTACTTGATCTCCTTTGCATATTAATACAATGCATTAAGATTTACTCTTTACCTACATGAATTTCTTTTTTGCTCTATTTGATTTCTTTTACAACTTTAATGGTCCGTTTGATTGTAAGAATGAAATTGGGTGAAAAGAAAATGAATTTCAGGAAATTGAATTGTCTAGAACTTGTTTTACTGTGAATTGTCAATGAATAGTGTTTGATTAGTATAATTTTCCACCTGAAAAATATTAAAATTTTGGATATTTTGGTATTCGTTTGACTTTGTTTTCCATGAAAATTGTCCATTAAAAAAATATAATTTGTTACAATTTGGGATAAAATTTGTTTCTATTGCAAAAAAAAAAAAATATAAAAAAAGTTGACTGGAAAAGATTTTCCTCAAAAATCAAGAAAATGTGGGAAACCAATTCCATAGAAAATTTAATCAATCAAACATGCAAAAAATTTGAAATAGATTTTAATTTCCATCTTTCATGAAAAAGAAAGCCAAATCAAACAGGGCCTAATTTCTTACAAGTGGAAATATATTTTATATCTATATTTTGAAAATACGTCTTTCCTAGAGCTCGTTTGGTACTGATTAAAATCCAATTAAAATTGAAAATATAGTCGTTATTGGACTCCACTCGTCTAATAAAAGTCAACAATAACGGCTAATTTTTTAATTTTAATCCGATTTTAATCTATATACCAAACGGGCCCTAGATTCACTTCTAAAATGTAAAAAGGTAAAAATAAAAAATAAAAAATCAACTATATAAATATATCCATCTTTTCCAATTCTACCGTACTTACTAGACCCCGACAACTTGTTAGTCAACACGGATGTAGATTTTACTTTTCTTGCCATCACCAACTGCTGCTCATAATATAAATAAATGCCAGCCATACTATCAAGATTCCAGTTTACATCTCTCTCAAGTGGCATTATTATTCTCTTCTTCTCTTCATCTTCCTTTGTACCTTCCTACAACCTGCGGATCTACTAGAAGTTCTCTTTTTATATATCTTCTCTTCACTGGCTTAACAAGACAGTATTTTCTGAAGAAATTCGCCATGGAATTCACTAGTCTGCTTGATACTTCATTGGATCTTAATGCCAAACCTCTCAGGATTTTTGACGACAACCCGGTACTGGTATGTGAAGTTTTAAGACTGTTTTACAAGGTTGAAGCTAGGACTTTCGGTATGAAAATGTCGAAGCCACTAAACTTGGTTTGTTCCATTTTTTCAGAAACAAGAGGTACCAAGTGATTTATTTCAGCTGGGAAGAAATGTAGCAGTGAAAGAAGAGGTGAGTACTTATTACTTCTTACATACACACATTCGTAGACGTGTAATAAGTACCGGTTCCTCCCTAACCCGTCGAAGGATTGGACTAGTTAATCTACGCCCCTTACCCTGTTCAAAAACCTCATCCGAGATCTTGTATAGAGAAGGATTTCCTGCTGCTTAGCAATTCTTCCATCTATTTGTACGTCTAGAAGAAAAACAAAAAATTGTGTTCATTCGGATAGCTATCACTACTTAGCTTAGAGGAACAAGATTAATGGTATTGATAGATCATATACTAATACCACGTACCCCATTCGTGCCATTTAACTTGCAACAGTCAAATTGTCTAGGGGTTGTTCTTTCTTTATGGAATTTCAAGGGTAGTACACTTTCTTCATTCTTGGACCTCGTTTCTTAATACCAACTTAGCTGCTCGGTGCTGCAATTGGCATAACAACTGGTAGACTATAGGTTGGCCCAACCCAGTCGTCTTGTACTTGAATTTCATATGATATTTTGTAGGGATTAAAAGGGTCCGTTGTGCGTCTCATGGCTATATCATAAGACATCCTATTTTCTTAGTCCGAAATAGTGGTTTTGAAAGTTTTGCTTCTTAATATCTCAATCTCTCTGGGTATCTCGTACTTTCGAACTAGGATAATTGTCCTTTTTCTGAATTTTTTTTTTTTTTTCCATTCTTCCGTTTCTTTTTCAGAGAGATGCCTTGATGGAGGAGCTAAAGAGGGTGAATACAGAAAACAAGCAACTGACAGAATTATTAACAGTTATCTGTGAGAATTATAACGAACTGCAAAAACAGTTAACGGAGTATACATCCAAGAATCCTGCATCAAAGAAGAGAAAAGCTGAAGGCATCATCAAGAATGGCAATAGAGTCAATAGCCCTGATGAGAGTAGTTCAAGTGATGAAGATTCAAGCAAGAAACCAAAGGAAGAACACATAAAAGCTCAGATTTCTCGGGTTTATGCACGTACAGAAGCATCTGATACAAGCCTTGTAAGTACTAAATTAATCAAACTTCCTAGCAATAAACCAAACGGAGCACTGAAATAGGATTTATGTAGCCGACCCTGAATTTAGTAAGAACGACGCTTAATTTATTGTTGTTGTGCAAGTGTGGAAATATTAAGAAATATCCATCAGGATATTATTAGGATTTGAGAGAAGTCATCATGAGACGAAATATGAACAATTTATGACAACTTATTTTTGAAATTTTTTGCTTATGCTGAAAGAGAGTATACTACAGGTAGTTACGGATGGATATCAATGGAGGAAATATGGACAAAAGGTCACAAGGGACAACCCTTCTCCAAGAGCTTACTTCAAGTGTTCTTTTGCTCCAACTTGTCCTGTCAAGAAGAAGGTAAGCCAGATTTCTAAGCACCAGTTCATTGTTACATCTAATCATCTATGAGCAATATGTACGGTGGACCCGGTTTGGTTCTAAAGGATTCCAAAGAGAACTCAACTAAGCCACGTATCAGTTGGTATTTAACAATAGAATCACTAGTTCCATCTCCATTACGGAATTGAACTTGAACCAAGCCGTTCGGTTCCGGTATAGTTCGGCTCGGTTCCTTCAAATTATAAAATGTGTAACTAATGAAATGCATGTAGATTCATCGTAAGATTTAAATGAAGTTTCATTTTAGCTTTCTACTTCAAGAATTTACGAAAACAATTATGCCCTGTTTGATAAGTCTTATTTTCTAAGGAAAATGGAAAATGAATTTCATTTTTCACTTTTTAACATGTTTGATAAGTTTAATTTTCTAGGCAAAATGTTTTTGTTGGTTTTTGACATGTTTTCATTTAGGTTTTTTTTTTAATAAATTTTTGGCAAGGAAAATAAATTTTATTACTCGTTGTAAAAAAATTTTCATTTTAATGGATAATTTTCATGTAAAACAAAGTCAAATGAACACTACTTTAATAGACAATTTCCATATAAAACAAATCCAAACGAACACAAAATTTAAAAATTTTCCGAGTAGAAAATTATAACAATCAAACACATTTAATTAACAATTCTCTACAAAACATTTTCTAGGCAATTACTTTTTCTGAAATTTATTTTCTTTCCACGAATTTTCCACCCTTACAATCAAACGAAACCTTATATTATTTCCTTGCAATGAAGTGAGCATTACAATATAGTTTTTCGTTGGACTTTTCCAACACGTTAAAAATTCCTAGTATTCTAAGGTAGTTGTTTCCATCTTTACGCAGGTTCAAAGAAGTATAGATGATCAATCTATTCTAGTTGCAAGTTATGAAGGGGAGCACAACCATCCTCAACCCTCAAAAATTGAGACCGCTTCAGGCTCCAACCGTTGCATGACACTTGGCAAGACCCTGGCCTCTGTGAGCTCGTCCGGGGCAACCGTCGCACTTGATCTTACAAAACCAAAACAAAATACTGATAATGCAAGAAATTCAATCAGGAAAATTGGCTCGCCAGAATTCCAACAGTATTTGGTGGAACGAATGGCTTCTTCACTAACAAAAGATCCCAATTTCACAGCAAGTCTTGCCGCTGCCATTTCGGGGAAATTTCTTCATCCAAATCCTCAGACTGGAAAATGGTAGGAGCTCGAACTAAGGAGCTTGTGGGGGTACTTTTGGGTCGCCCTTCGATAATGTGGAAGGTTGAAAAGAACCAGTTAGACACAAAAAGTGTTTGAAACGGAAAATTTTGGTTCGTTTTCTAGACCCAATTGGTTGACCCGACCAAAACATTTCCCTGCTTCACCTACTCAAGCTGTGGTTAGACATTATGCTGAGGGTTTTGTATGAGCAAAATGCCAAAATGCTTGATTCAGTCACAGTGAGCAAAAGCAAGCTTGTGGAAATGTAGGTCATCTAGCATAGGATTTCAAATGGAAATGTAAAATTATTCTGTTATTCACTAATTCTCTGGACAAGTCATATAATTCTCTCTCTACCGCGCACTTATCTAGGAAGGGCTACTCCATCCAGATAAGGATTCAAAAACTTAAATATAAAAGTATAAAGTCATTAAGATAAAAATGCTCAAAAGTTTAGTATATCCAACACTCAAGCAGATGCTACTTGTCAGTGTAGATATATTACAAACAAACATGCTCCTACAATCTTCCTGACTGTTAAACCATTCATCATCTTGAAATGCTATTTGAATCATCCTCCAAACCCAAACCCAAAGCAAAAGCAAAAGCAAATCTAAAATGAAGCAACAAGTCTCCAACATCTTGCACAGACGTCTCAAGTCATGCTAGGCAGACTGCCATTCTAACAACCTTGGCTGCAATTTCAATCTCAACAAAAGACATTATCATTTCATGAAATGGAAAAGCAAATAGAACATCTGCTGTAACAGCACAGCCTCTCCTGTACTCTATTTCTCCTTCTGTGTCTGCATGCATATGTGCACGTCTTAGGAGAGCATCGTGAAACATATGGGGAACTAGGCAAATAGAACTTCTCTAAAGTGATTCTATTTAAGAAATCTACATAGAAATGAATGAATGAATTAATTCATAACAATTAAACTTCCTGGCATACATGAGCCATTCCTAAATGTCGGAAACTACCTCTTCACATAATATATAACAATGATTCAAAGTGATCTAAAATAATTACTACTAAGAGGTAAAACCCAAATCATCAATAGCTCTACCTAGTTCCAATTCAGTGAAATTCAGTGATCTCTTCTACTGTCTTGCCTTTATTCTTAGTCTTGAGGCCTTTATCCTCATTTATTAAATCACCTGCAGCTATACAATCCTGATATCTGTAACAGCTAATGAGATGGTCATTTGTAATTCCAGCCACTTGCATAAAGGAGTAGACAACTGTAGGCCCAACTCCTCGGAATCCTCTTCTTACCAAGTCTTTGCTTATAGTGTCTGCTTTCGACGTCTTAATAGGAACTTGCCGAGGATAGCGGAAATTACCAATTATAGGCTTGTAGTTAACAAAACTCCATATATACTTGTCAAATGACCCAAGATCATCTATTATCTGCATCATGAGCAAAGTACTAGAACATGAGACCAATTGTTCGCAGGTGTTTGAATGAACATCATTTACAACTTGTAATTGTTTTTTTCTACCTTCTTTTTAGTAATTTATATTCAAAAGCAGTGTTTGCTCGCTTAACAAACTTGGCATTGGGTTCTTGGTGACCCAACTTTACCACAAGTCCAGGGTATCAGTTGTAAACTAATTTTGTTAACCTTGTCAAATTAAACATACAAAAGGATATCAGGCGATTCAAAATTCTTTTTATACACTACTTGCCTATCCTTTATCAATCAGTTCTGGTCAAAGAAAGTATTTGAAAATTGCCTCATCATGCCTACATGCTAAGTTTTAAACATGGCAATGAGAATCTAATCTTTTTGTAGGAGATGCATCTTTAAAAAAAAAGTTCACTTAGGTTTTGAACCTGAATAGTCATTGCTCAGAAGCTATTAGACTAAAATTTGAGAAACATGGCAAAACATATTAACTTCCTCATTTAAACACTAATAAATATTTACAATCTTTTTGATTCAGCTTTAGGTTCAAAAGGCAATGTTTGCATAATCTCTAAGAAGAAAAACAATAAGTAGTAACTATAACAAGGACATCATGACCATTCCAATAAAATCAGTGATTCTAATCAGGAAAAATGTCAATAATGAAAGTGTGGTAAATTTATAACACACTATGCGATAAGCACTTACCATACAGATTTGACGTGCATTTTCAATTATTGCTCGCAGCTTAAGTTCTGACAGGAGAGAGCTGGCAGGACTTCCTGGTGTACCTACTTTCTTCTCATTTAATTTTGACACTGCATTTGGATCAAAGTCCAGAAAGACTTCTCTGCACTCACATTTATTGGAATCAGCAACAAGAGAGCTTATGAAAATTTTAATAATCAAATTGCAGCAACCATTTTCTGATTGTTCAAAATATTACATCAAAAACTAAGATACCTAAATATATGCCTTTTGTTAAGAATGACGGGCCATGTTAGTTCAGCCAATGCAGTGGAAAAGCTCAACAATTCAAAAAGTTTCCTACCAATTGTCAAAGCACTCAAATTAGAATGAGGAAGCCATAAAATATAATTGGAGGCCAAAAACTAAAATAAGCAAATAAAGCTGGAAGGAGATACTTACTTATCATCATGGACAGGTACTCCCCATTCTTCGTCATGGAAAGCAGCATAAGATGGATCTTTTAGAAAAGGAAACCCTATTAGCACGAGGAATCCAAATAACAATAAAAATTATTTTAGCATTTAGAGAAACTGTATGCCTAAAAGAGGGCAGCATGTCGAGAAACTATAGTGAGGGAAGGATTAAAATGCTAGATGGAAAATGATATATAACAAAAATAGAATGAACTGTGTTCTCATCCTACCTGTCTAATATTAAGAACACAGAACATCTGTATTCAAATATAAAAATTGCAACGAGTTAGATGCTAAATAACATTGGGTGGGAGGGGGGGGGGGTCCCCTTCCTTCCTGCACACTCTCTTTCCCTAGGGTTGAAAAAGATTGTTGACTCTTTTTTCCACATATATGAGAATATACATATAACATAAACCAATAAAAATGACAGTGCTGGGAATCCTTGTACTGGAAGGGAGAAAAGCCAGCACAATTTTCAACAAGAACTTAAAGAACATTGAGTATAAAAAGGCTATGCCACAAAATTGTAACATAAAAAGGGGATTGGAATAAAAAATAAAGAGAACAAACATGAGGCACCATAAAATTATTGTCTGAGTTTAAAATTATGACAAATTGATGCAAAACACGCAATAATAAAACGTTGCAAGTTTATTCAAACAGTGGCTATTAGGCTTCAGATGCTGCCATGGAGTTTATAGACGTGAATAATTCAACTATACTGAGGGTTTATGTGAATTACAACCTGCTTCTCAAAGAAGATTAGAAGAATGCTATTGTAGCGACCGAGAATTTTAAATGATATAAAGTTATTTTCTTGAAAAACGTGTCGCTAAGTTTTGACCCCAAATTTCTAATAAAAGGAGTATTCGTCTAGCCATTGTAAAACAAATTTGAATCTATTCAAATCGAGTCCAATCTCGAATATTTTAAAGTATCGAATTTCTTATCATCTTTAAATCCAAATTTTAATAATTATAAGTGCAAGATTTTATTTAGGGTCCAAAATTTTAATAGCCCGAATCTGGACTATTTACCCCAATTCACTTGAGGTTAATTAGGAAAATCCTTACAACCCAACTTCTTGGCCCATTTAGTTCCTAGAAATTTGTGCCCTAAATTATTGTTTCTATAACTCGTTTCCTCCCCTTCCTCACATCTCATGCAGCCAGGAAACCACAGAGTAAGCAAAAACTTCACCGCCCTCAAGTTTCCCTCGTTTCAATCCACTATGAAATCTCATGTTGATGCTAAAATCAATTTTTAGCACCAACAGCAATCCCTCGAGATTTGGAAACTCTCTTCTAGCATCATCAACATGATGTTTCCAACAAAATCGACACCCCCAAACCCAGCTGCAAACACACAACTCCAAACACCCATTTTCGAAGCCAACACCGATTACAACACACACAGACTGTAACCATTCTAAACACCACCACCTCACTACACTGCCAAGCCTCAACCCCGAAACCTAATTTTCGAACCATCAGTTGCAAAACACGCACAAACCGCAGTTGCCACCCCACTCGACAGCCACTATTTCACCCAAAACCCATCTCAAACAGCTTCAAGAACTAAGAAACCAGAAAACCCATGAACTTACCTCATTTCCCGACCTTTTTCAGCTTGATTGCCACCAAGAAACTCAAAAGAAATCAAACCTCCAAGCCTCGTTTTAACCTTGAGTCGTGCGCCAAAACCCCCCCACAACGTCCACACAAAGCATCGGTGCCACCACGCGACGGTGGCGCCGATGCCGGCCTGCTGACCTACGGTTGAATCGCCGTCGGTGGCTTCCCCCTCTCCTCTCTGCTCGTTTTCGAAAATGAAAGAGAGAGAGGGAGTGAGAGAAATGATTTTGTTATATATATATATATTTTTTTTTTTTTTTAATTTGTGAAATTTACCCTTAAGCCCCAAGTTTCAAAAGTTGTTAATTTTGGTCCCTAAAGTTTCTGTTATGAATAAAACAGCCCCTGGAGTTCTTGTTTCCCACAGTTAGCCCACTATTTTCGAAAAGTCTATTTCTAGTCCTTAAACTTTTCAAATTCCAGTTTTAATAAATTTCCAATTTAGCCCCTAAACTTTATATTATCACTTTAAATTTTCGGGATACTAATTCAAGCTTATTTCATATTTTTGGCTAGACGAAACGTACGGACGATTAAGGGATTGAGGCTACTACCCGCTCCACTTTTTACGTGACTCGAGATAATTTGAGGTAGACTCGCCCCCATTAATTAGTTTAAATTATAATTGCATGTATTATGTGATTTTATATTATTTATATGCTTTCATGCATAAGACGAGAATATCACTTATGAGATAAAAGATGTTTTTATGTTTGTCAAATTATGTGCTTTAATGCATGAGAATAGACGAGACTATCTCTTATGAGATAAGATGATGTTATGCATAA